GCTGGGGCAGTGGAAGGGACAGCGGGAACTAGAAGACAGAGGAAAGCAGCGAAGAGCTTGAGAGAAAGGGTGTGTGTGTGTATGAGTGTGTGTGTGTGTGAGATAGAGTGAGCTTGTGTCTTCAGGACCCCTGCTGCAACAGAGAAGCCTAATGCCCTGTATTTACTGTAGAAGAATTAGTACTCTTACATGATGCTGCTAAGCTTGGCTGGTCACGCCCCCCCCCCCTTGCCTCTCTATGTCTGTCACTCAATCAGAGAGCATATAAACTGACAGAAAAGCACTTAAACACAAAAAGGAGAGACACACTCCTGCAGGCTTGTCCAGATACTAACATGCACCACCACAGACCTGCACACATTGTGTAAATGCCAGAAAGACTGATTAAAATAAATGTATCAAGATCATTTTTTTGTTTTGTTTGCTTACTGGCATTTATAGATGATACCGGTTGATTTTTAAACTGTATTAATGCATCTGTAACAAATTTATACAGAGGTAATGGTACTTGTTATTACAGCATTAATGATACTAAGCATATTTAAACTGCTACATTCAATGAGGCAGTTGACACCGCAATTTCAGTTCTCCTACAATTTACACATCTGTAAATCATTCTAAAAGTACAAACATTTTGTAAATGTGTTAATTTTGTTCAATATCCATTTTGAATTTGAACACCTGTTCATATGTTCTGACACTGTGACAGGAGAGACAGTTAGTCCCTAAACTATTAATCCAGTTTATTCTGTTTTATGCAGGGGACCCTGAGCAGCACCACTGTGGCTTCTCTTGGAGCATTAAAGCCTTTCACCACTGACCAACAATGAACTACACTACTGCAATACACAGTATTCCATATTCATATTAGAATGATGTAGCTTTATTTCCTCCCACAGTCCAAAGACATGCAGGTTAGGTTGACTGGCGACTCACTGGCTTCATCCGGAAGGGCATTCAGCACAAAACATGCCAATCTACAATGTTACAATGGTGAATTATCATCTTAGACATGACCTAAAGCTCAAAAAATGAGGTGTATGTATGTTCTAGTACTTCTATGCAGAAGTAACTCAGTTTATACACGTCTGGCAAACTCTCGCCTCCAAGACTTTTTTTAACAATAAAATAAAGTATGACGTGATAGTTTAAGGCTCTCCTTGAATGGTCATAATCTCCAGGCAGCTGCGCCTTCATGTGGGCTTGCTGACATCCACCGGGTTTTATCATTCTGAAGTAATTACACTATTTGGAGTTATGGTGGTGCAAATAGAGGTACACAACATTAAATAGCTGAAACTGAGCATGCCATGGGCTCTTTGAGTTACAAATCAAATACTGAGCTGTTCAACGTGATCACAATCATACTAAGAAATGCCCTAAATCAGAAATGTTCTTCATAACAACTCCTGCCAGGTGCCAAACCCAGACACGCCAACAGAGGAAGCTAATTCGTACCAGTGCACCCCTCCCAAGTTCAAGCCAATGATAAGATCTTAAGGATTGTTTGTTTTGCTGCTGTCAAAGGTTCAAATAGAGAGAAGACGGTGGTTTTGATGACCCTTGGCCCTGTGGTCCTTAGTGGGTGTTCTGCAAACACTCCCTATTGAAGTGTGGAAAAGAAGAGGCCTGCTGCTGTGCACAACGCTGACACTCATGAGTGGAAACAGACACTGCTATGAAAAGAGCCAAGAACCAAGCAAGTGGCTGAAAAGGAAAGAGTATAATGCACGTAAGGGCGTTGTGGTTCTCATGTGTGTGTGCGTGTGGAAGTATGTATGAATGAATGAAAGCAGTTTTTTGTGAGTGCTTTGGGTTTGAAAGCAAAGAAAACTACTACAGTGCATGTAAATTTGTGATGTTTGTGAGCACACAGTGTGTGTTGAGAGATGTGCAGGTGAATCAGGCACTGAATACAGAATAACAACAAACATGTGCTACTGAGAAGCAGTGAAATATGTCAAAGGCATTGAATACAGAATAACAACAAACGTGCTACTGAGAAGCAGTGAAATATGTCGGTTACGGGCGATACCGAGGGTGCCACACAGTAGGAACACTGCTGCGTTTTTCCCCACAAAATACCAGCTAAACCCAGCTGAACCTCCTCTTTCACGACAACATGCAGGAGAGCTCCCAACAACCTTGCCAGTGCATGCTAAGAAAAGGTTGCCTGCAGAGATAAAGAAAATAATCAAAGAAATGAAAAAATGAGTAAAGAAAAAAATTTGACTACATGTTGTACAGAAAATACAGGTGTTAACTGTGATTTTCTTACAGTAACAACCATCTTTAAATATTTCAGAATTAACAATGCAAATCATTTACTGTATATTCTATACTTCATACAGTCATGTACATGTATGAACTACTGAATATAAATAATGACATTGTGAACATCATCTTATTATTGATGAAATTATTAAATGATTGGTCTTGAAAATACAGAGTGTAGTGTGTGTATATGTGTGTGTGTGTGTTTGATATGTAGGCCAAGCAGGAAGTGACCCATAAACATATCTATCCAGCTCTTTCATTGGGGGCCAACCTAGCCCTCCCCACATGCACACACACACACACTCAAAGCCCCCAGTGAGCACTAAGCAGGCCAGCGGGCCAGCCGAGGGGGCTCATTACAGGTCCACAGAGCCCCCCACCACAAAGGCCTGAGCCGCTTTAGCCATCGGATGATCTGCTCTCTACTGACTAGAGAGAGTCCATAGACGGACAAAAGGAGGGAGAGAGGGAGGGGATGGGAGAGAAAGAGGTGGAGGAGTGCAGAGAGGAGGAGAGGACGGGGAGTCGCGGGCTTTAAGGATGTCAGGAGACCCCGAGAGAGAAAGCCTGGCGGGCACTCAGAGAGGAACGGAGGGAAGGAGGAGGAGGCTTAAGCTCCACATCTACGTCAGAACATTAACATTCACACAACCTCCCAACATCTGCTGCTTCCTCCTTGCCCTCCATCCCTCCCTCTTTCCATCCCTATCTCCCTCTGTCCGGTTACAACACTGGAACAAAGACAGTGAGATGAAGGAAGAATGAGAGGACAGACAGACAGAGAAGGACAAGAAAAAAGAAGAAATGTGAAATAGATGAGTGTAGAAGATTTAACAGCAAGGGTCTGAGGACTTAAGAAACAAGATTAATTATGCAAACTGTTTATATTATCAGTGTATTAGTAAATTAGCAATACATCAGTCCAATATAAACTACTTCTTCAAGTTAAAACCTGTTGTCTATTTGTCTTTGACTGTTGGTGGTTATGAGTGACATGATCGTGGGCACCTGAAGGCCTGACACAGGCCAGCCTTTGGAAGGAAAGAGAAGAAAACCAGAGACATGTCCGGCACATTAAACCCTGTCCTCTAGTCCTACGTCTTGTCCCGGGCCTGTGTCTGCACCAGTCTGTCCCAGTGCCCTCATAGCCACACAGTTTCATGATGCCTCATCGGCATTAGTACAACATGAGCCTGGAGGTGGCAGGGCAGGGAGTGTGTGACATACATTAGAAATCATGTCTGAGTAAAGAAGAACTTTCATTTTTCTAAACCGATTAAACATAAGTTAAACTGCCCCAACCCCAAACTCCCACATGTAAACTCTGCACAGTAAATTTAAAGTATGATGAAGTACGTAAAACATGCTTCATAAGGTTCAAATCAGTGAAATTACAGCAGGGGACTGCAGCATTGTCCTGTGGCCTACTATAAGGCTGGACAAGTCTTCAGTGAGGTAAGTGTGTGGCTGCTGAGTGCTTTATAGATGATGTATAGATGCCTGGTTCTTTCATATATTTCCTGTGGTGAAATTAGAGCCATGTTCTGAAGTGCTGGGCCGTGTATGCACACGTGTGTGTGTGTGCACATGACTGTAAACATGAAGACATCTTTCTCCATAGTCAATCTCTGCCTGTCACATCTGGCTTGCAACCCTACCCCTCGAATACACACTGGAATATATACACTGCGTGCATGGTGACATCTATGACTTATGTACTGGGAGGAGTGTTTGAAATTAAGCTGCAGTGAATATAGGCCCAGAAGCACCCTGCCTGTGGTGCTGTGTGCAGGGAGGGGTACTGGGAGTCTGGGTGCAGGAAAACAACCATGAAACCTGCCTGCACTGAGGTGTACTCACTGTATATGAAACTGTGGCTCATTCCCAAAATTTTAGTGGCAGGGCTGCATTATATGGCTTAAAAAAATTTAAGCTTGCTGCCCAATATACAACATGGGGCACAGAAGTGACATTAGAATAAAGTTTTCCTAATGAAAACAGTAATACATTTGAAGGGAGTAGTGTTGGGTTGACCTGTTTCATGGACAGAGTCAGTGGTAACCACAGGCTTGGAATGAAAGCCAGCAACTTGAAGTCTAAGGGTAAGTACTTTGACAGTGCCACTCATACTTGCACTAAGTGTCTACACAGTACAAAACGGGACAAGCTTCCAGTCATCAACATGCATAAAACTAAATAAATTACCAAATAATCCTTATAAAAATGAATTCAAATCACAGAGATTCACCTTGTAAATACTTGCTATAGTGCAAAGCCCCTGATGATGTCACAAGGGCATATTTATGAATGAAAAATGATGTAGATAAAGAAAATGCTACGTGGCATTTGTGTGTAGGTAAAGTGGTGGATCGACCATCTGACAACACCATAGTGATGTACAATTAATGCATCAGTAATTATAATCCAATAATTTAACATACACTATTCTGAAAATGAGTCACTCTGCATGAGTACTTTTACCTTCGGTACTTTAAGTGTATTTTACTGATGGTAAATTGTACTTTTACTACTAGCACCATTTGGAATGTACTTTTACGTGTAACTGTGTATTTCTACACTGTGGTATTGCTACTTCAGCTGAGTACAGTATGTCTTCCACCACTGCATGAAGCTGTGTGACCACAGCTGGGTAGTGTCAGGCCACGGCACTCACACTGAACAACACCGTGACATAGAGAGAAACACAATCAGCACCCACTTACCCACAGCCTGCAGGACCATGTGCATTCGAACTTTAGCCTGCTCCGCTGGAGTCTGCAGAAAAGTGACAAAGAGATCAAATACAATCGGTCAGTATTAACAGCAATAAGAGTGAGATATTAACTGGTTCCTATAAGGAGCGTGCCGTATTTCTCAGTCAGAGGTCAGGGGCAGCTCTTTACTTTACTTTGCCAGCCTGCTACTTAGGATATTATACAGGACAACCAGCTTCCATAATGACAACTTTATCTATCTAATCTAGCTCTAAAAGTGCTGTGTCCCTTAGGCTGAAATCTATTTTACCCACGATAATCTTACTGCAACCAGTGGAGTGAATGTTCCCTTAAACTGTCCTCATAAAGCACCAAGGGACAGATTCATCAAGCTACTAGTCTAGTCGTCTGTAAAAACCCTGCTAGTGAAAAGCAAAAAGCAACAACATCTCTGACACACCAGGGAGAATCAATGAGGAAGAGATAAAGAGAAATTTAGAGACAGAGAGAGAGGGAGGAGAAGAGAGAAAACAAAAGCTGCTGTAACAAGTCTTTGGAGAGTTGGATAAGAGGGCACAGGGAGCACGTTTTACAAAGATCACAGCAAAAGACTCAACATATTCCCCTTCCTGTCGTGTGTGTGTGTGTGTGCGCACCAGAAACGCTTAGAGGGCATGAATTGTGTGTGTGTGTGTGTGTGTGTGTATGTGTGTGTGTGTGTGTGTGTGTGTGTGTAGGTGGATGGGGGTGTTGTTTGACAGCTGTATTGCAAGGTGCAGCCCCTTTTCCTGACATGCCCTCAAAAGGGCCTTGCTGTAATTCCAATATCATTGCTATTAGATTTGAGGGCCTTAATTGTCAAGGAAGAATGATGACTACGACAGTGTGCAGAGCTATAAAAGGCGAGCGCGCTGCAGATTGCTCTCGAAGGTTTTTCTGGCGCTGCTGTGGCACGGCGGCCCTCGTTACCATGCAGCGGCAGCGACTGTGTGTAGGATTAGAGAGAAATTAAATGCTAATGGGGATGGGATCTGAATCCGCTGG